GGGAACAAATTCGTTCAGTACTGGCACCTGAACATACTTCTGGAATGAAATAATATCATAAACCGGGGGTCCACTGTATATATATGTGTGTGTGTGTGTGTGTGTGTGTGTGGTTATGAGGAGTGTTGCTTCTAATAACACTACCAAACAAGTGCAGGTTGTTGTTACCCAAGTGGTTTTGTAAGAGAATGTCATCATTGTGCTCTTACTGATATTTAACATTATTCATTGATGAATGGTTGTTACCTGAGTGGTTTTGTAAGAGAATGTCATTACTGTGCTCTTACTGATATTTAACGTTATTCCTTGATGAATTAAGATATGTGCAACATCTTTATTTTAAAGGTGTTTTTCCGAACTAGTGGCCTTTTTAATTCAGTAGAGATTACGAGCTGGTGACAGTGGAAGATGAGGTAATCAATCCCTCAGCCTTGAATTTCAAGGTGTTCAGTACCTAAGACAGTGAACACGTTCAAGGCTGGGAGACTGAATACCTCATCTTCTAATGTCACCAGTCTGAACACCCACCAATACAGGCACTGTCACCAGTCTGAACACTCACCAAGCCTGAAGCAGTGTCTACTATCTCCAGTCTGAACACCAACCAAGACTGAGGTACTGTCATCAGTCTGAGCGTCTACCTAGACTGAGGTACTGTCACCAGTCTGAACACCCACCAAGATTGAGGTACTGTCACCAGTCTGAGCACCTACCAAGAGTGAGGTAGTCACCAGTCTGAGCACCCACCAAGACTGAGGTACTATCACCAGTCTGAAGGTGACACCGACGTGTCCAACACACTAGTATGAAGGTGACATCGATGTGCCTGACATATTAGTATGCAGGTGACATCGACATATCCAACATACTAGTATGCAGGTGACATCAAACTGTGCGACATACCTCAGAAAATGCCTCGAGCTGCTCTGAAATCTTTTGAATTTTTTTGTTTTAAATCGTATGACAAGTACAGTGGTACCTCGAATTTCGAACAGATCCCAACTCGAACAATTATGTAAGTGCATTTTTGTAAATGTATTTTTGGGGGTCTGAAATGGACAAATCTAATTTACATTATTTCTTATGGGAACAGATTCGTTCGGTATCGGCACTCGAACAGCCTTCTGGAACAAATTAAGTTCGTAACTCAAGGTACCACTGTACATTAAAATTTACAAGACTGTGTACTGGTACACACAGTTTTTCATAACTTCAGATCTGCCACCTGCCAAACTTTCTGACCTCAGCACAACTCTCTGGGTCTTCTACAGTTTTTTCATGCCTTTGAAACAAATCTAAGACCAGACAGGGCCACACAATGTATCATGGTTAACTACACAGTTGGTGTCTGATGTACTAATATGCCAAACTAGCAAATGTAAACAATGAAACCAGGAGCTGTTGTTCCACCACCAGCAAACCAAGCAAGGAGAAGTTGACCTGAAGATAATTTATCCATTCCTAATTTATTACAATTTCATGATACTATGAATGGAATTCAGCCACAAAGAACACTAAGCAGATATAACATAGGATGACCAAATAATGCCAAACAATACAATTTATTTCCACATTTCCCTGAACATTACACCCAGAAACAATTGTAATTTCAAGATTTTCTTGCAAATATATATTTTACAGTAACTTGGATGACACACGTGTTATGGACACGTATAATGTCTGTATAACCTATCAGTGCTGTGTGACCCTGGTGGCTTAGCACTTAGTTTTGATTATAATAATTCTCAAATAGTTATCCTTGGATAACCCAATACAGTGAAACAGAATGACTTATTTCCATGGTACAACTGTAATATCTTAAATATTTCTTATACGTAATGTCAGAAGGCCAGAGCAGTCAATACTTACCTAAACATTTTCCCATGTTTGAAACACTAAAACATTGAAACATCCTGGGATGATCTCTCCTCCCTTCCTTCCCAGATTTTGTAATTCAATTACTAAATTTATGAATTTTCAAACTGTTTAATAAAAAATTTGCTGAGGAATTCTGCCCAGAAAGAAACAAAGTTTTCTATTAGGAAAATTTATTATTTTACAATTTCATGCTTATTGACACATCAGCAGCTGTTGAGTCACGATGATTGAGGACGACTACTGTGTCATCACTAGATGGGTTGTGATGACTGTGCATGAGAGGGTTATCACCACAACATGGGTTGTCATGGGTGAGTGTGGTAACAGCATCGTGGGCAGAGTGGAAGATGTGTTCTGAAGGTATAACCTTGAGTGTACCACAAGACTCCAGCATCTCCAGCACACTCTCTGTAAGCAAGACACATCTGTGGTTACTTGGTGAGTACATTACCTAAGGGAAATTCTCCCTATTTTGAACCCTATTGCATTTTATTTTTTTAGCTATAAAAAAGTCCTGAGGTCCAAACTATGACAGTCTACCTTATAGGGTCATTCTAAATTAGTCCCCAGGGGCAGGGAGAAGCTGAAGCATGCAGTAGTGCACCAATTCACAATCCCTCCCAGTCACTCATAACTAAGAAAATTGATTGTTTGGACCCAAAAATTAACAAAAGAAAACCATGCAAGTTACAGCAAAACTCATGGATGTAAAAACTGTCTTAGAAAGGCTCATTCTATCACATATCAGAATTACATGCAAATACAGTGGAATCTCGGTACTCAAATGTAATTGATTCCAGAAGGCTGTTCGAGTGCCGATCCATTCGAGTATCGAGCAAATTGTTTGCAACCAGTTTTCTTTTTGGTTGGTTGTTATCACTAATCTTCATAGGCCCCTTGGTGACTTATTTATACAAATAATATAAAAAAAAATGCTAAGAAACATGAAATAGTTTACAGTGAAGTTCTGGCAGGTCATGTTTGTTTGGTCAAGTGCTGAGCTTTGTTTGAGTAAGGAGCTGTTCCTGTACTGAGGTTCCACTGTATTCCCATCAGTTTGATGACTCAGGATATTTGTACACTGGTCACACTTAGTGTGACCAGTGTGACACTTAATGTGACCAGTGTACAAACATCCCGATGGTAGTCACTGGTCACACTGTGTGACCAGTGACCACCATCACACTCAGTGGAGGGGGAGGGTTCTTGGTTCAATAATTGTGACTTATCTCTTTCCTTGCATCGACCTTGATGTTTTCCTGTTTTCCCTGTGTGCTGCATGGCCCCCTATGAGTTGAGTGCTTCTCACTGTGAGCAAACACAACCACTCTACTTGTGTCTACCACTACACATTGTATAAAACCACTACACTACCTGTATACTACCACACACTGTATACAATACACTTCCTGTGTACTACTACACACTGTATATAAATACTACACTACCCGTATACCACTATACCGTGTGGCACAACACACAGTGTACACACACACACTTGACATACCTGAGAGAGCAGCCAGACACACAGTAATACCAGCCTCCTGGTATTCCTTATACAGCTGAGACAGTAGATTACCACCACTGGAGTCTGTGTAACTTACAGCACTCATCTCTACCACCAGGTACTCCACACCCTGTAAAACCAGTTATAAAGCATCTGTGAATTAATATGTCCACTTTAATAGTCAGTTCTCTTACAAAGCTCCTCTATACAGTGCCATCTATCGTAAGTGCTATTGGGAAAAGTAGATAGACAGAGAAGTGTGTGGAGATGACTTTATAGTTAGAAATACTGAATTTTCAAGGTACTTTTTTATATAGAGCAACTTTATAAGAGAACTTATTTAAGTTCTCGTAATGCATACACAAAGGACGTACTTACTAAATCATTATACAACTATGTTGTTCTCATTACGCATATGGTAATAGTGACCACCATCATGGTGACAGTGACCACCATCATGGTGGTGACAGTGACTGCCATGTCTTACCCATAAAGTCCTGCTGGTCATCCTCTCAATGGTCTTTGCTGAATCTGATGTCCCGTTCATTTCCTGCAAATATAAATAAATAATTTTTTTTTTCAACAAACCAGCTATATTTCACCTAGGCAGGGTGACCTAAAAAGAAAAGCGAAAGTTTCTTTTAACTTTAGTAATATATACAGGAGAGGAGGTTACTAGCCCCAGGCTACAGTTACTTGCATTATGAGCCTTAGGCTGTATCAAGGTGCCCTGCCTACAAGACTGTTAATTAATCTACAGTGTGATAAACCTCACATAGACCTAGAAATTTTAATACTAGATATTAATTTGTATCAATGATTATACAGTGGAACCTTGATTTACGAGTTTAATTCGTTCCAGGAGCTAGCTCATCGACTAATCTCTTTATTTTCCTGGGTCCTTTGCCTTCTGTACTTTTTCCATTCTCTAGCACACTTAGTTTTTGGCTCCCTACACCTTGGGGTAAACCAAGGGCTCACTCTGGTCTTCCCATTGTTTCTGTTACCCTTGTGTGTGTGTGTGTGCTCGTGTGTGTGTGTACTCACCTGTATGTGGTTGCAGGGGTCGAGTCATAGCTCCTGGCCCCACCTCTCCACTGATCGCTACTAGGTTCTCTCTCTCTCTGCTTCCTGAGCTTTGTCATACCTCTTCTTAAAACTATGTATGGTTCCTCCCTCCACTACTTCACTTGCTAGGCTATTCCAATTCCTGACGACTCTATGACTGAAGAAATACTTTCTAACATCCCTGTGACTCGTCTGAGTCTTCAGCTTCCAATTGTGACCCCTTGTTTCTGTGTCCCCTCTGGAACATCCTGTGTCTGTCCACCTTATCTATTCCCCACAGTATCTTGTATGTCGTTATCATGCGTCCCCTGACCCTTCTGTCCTCCAGTGTCGTCAATCCAATTTCCCTCAACCTTTCATTGTAGGAAATTCCCCTGAGCTCTGGAACTAGCCTTGTTGCAAACCTTTGTACTTTAACTTCTTGATGTGCTTGACCAGGTGTGGGTTCCAAACTGGTGCTGCATACTTCAGTATGGGCCTAATGTACACAGTGTACATTGTCTTGAACAATTCCTTATTAAGGTATCGGAACACTATTCTCAGGTTTGCCAGGTGCCCATATGCTGCAGCAGTTATCTGGCTGATGTGTGCCTCCAGAGATGTGCTAGGTGTTATGGTCACCCCAAGATCTTTCTCCTTGAGTGAGGTCTGTAGTCCTTGTCCACATAGCCTATACTCTGTCCATGGTCTTCTTTGCCCTTCCCCAATCTTCATGACTTTGCATTTAGCAGGGTTGAATTCAAGAAGCCAGTTTCTGGACCACGTGTCCAGTCTGTCCAGGTCTCTTTGTAGTCCTACCTGATCCTCATCTTCACATCATCTGCGAATAGGGACACTTCAGAGTCTATCCCTTCCATCATGTCTTTCACATATATCAAAAATAGCACTGGTCCTAGAACTGACCCCTGTGGGACCCCGCTTTTCACAGGCACCCAATGTGATACCTCTTCACGTACCATGACTCGTTGTTGCCTCCCTGTCAGGTATTCTCTGATCCATTGCAGTGCCCTCCCTGTCATATACGCCTGATCCTCCAGCTTCTGCACTAATCTCTTGTGAGGAACTGTATCGAAGGCCTTCCTGCAGTCCAGGAAAATGCAGTCCACCCACCCCTCTCTCTCTCTTATCTTACTTCTGTTACCTTGTCATAAAACTCCAGAAGGTCTGTGACACAGGATTTCCATGAATCCATGCTGGTTGTTATTTATAATCGTGTTCCGTTCCAGGAGCTCCACCACTCTCCTCCTGATAATCTTCTCCATGACTTTCCATACTATACAAGTCAGAGACACTGGTCTGTAGTTTATTGCCTCGTTTCTGTCTCCTTTCTTAAAAATGGGGACTACATTTGCCATCTTTCATATCTCAGGTAGTTGCCCAGTTTCAAGGGATGTATGTATGTATATATGTACTCACCTAGTTTAGGTTGCAGGGGTCGAGTCCAAGCTCCTGGCCCCACCTCTTCACTGGTCGCTACTAGGTCACTCTACCTGAACCGTGAGCTTTATCATACCTCTGCTTAAAGCTATGTATGGATCCTGCCTCCACTACATCGCTTCCCGAACTATTCCACTTCCTGACTACTCTGTGGCTGAAGAAGTACTTCCTAACATCCCTGTGATTCATCTGTGTCTTCAACTTCCAACTTTGTCCCCTTGTTACTGTGTCCCATCTCTGGAACATCCTGTCTTTGTCCGCCTTGTGAATTCCTCTCAGTATTTTGTATGTCGTTATCATGTCCCCCCCTATCTCTCCTGTCCTCCAGTGTCGTCAGGTTGATTTCCCTTAACCTCTCCTCATAGGACATACCTCTTAACTCTGGGACTAGTCTTGTTGCAAACCTTTGCACTGTCTCTAGTTTCTTTATGTGCTTGGCTAGGTGTGGGTTCCAGACTGGAGCTGCATACTCCAATATAGGCCTAACGTACACGGTGTACAGGGTCCTGAACGATTTCTTATTAAGATGTCGGAATGCTGTTCTAAGGTTTGCTAGGCGCCCATATGCTGCAGCAGTTATTTGGTTAATGTGCGCTTCAGGAGATGTGCCTGGTGTTATACTCACCCCAAGATCTTTTTCCTTGAGTGAGGTTTGTAGTCTCGGCCCCCCAGACTGTATTCCATCTGCGGTCTTCTTTGCCCTTGGGCATTAAGCCCAAATTAAACTAAGTCTGCCCGAAATGCCTAGCCATGCTAGGCGTTCTAGTGGTACACTCTGTAATCATTATTTAACTACATCTAAACCACACAACAACCAAATTCTGTAAATTCAACATTGTAATCTTTATAGAGAATAAACTTTGAAGGGCTGGGAAGTTCAAGAATGCCTCTTGCTGTGTGTGTTGCTGCTGCTACTACTTCATTTGTCCATTGCACTCTGAATTGACCATACAGTAGACCCCCGCCTTACGATATTAATCCGTTCCTGAGAGCTCATCGTGAGCCGAAATTATCGTAAGGCAAATTAATTTTCTCCATAAGAAATAATGGAAATCAAATTAATCCTTGCAAGACACCCAAAAGTCTGAAAAAAAAAATTTTTTACCACATGACATATTAATTTTAATACACACAAATTGAAGAAGACATGCACAGTTAATACTTCTCTACTATGAATAGAATACTGTACATGACACTTACCTTTATTGAAGATCTGGTGATGATTGATATGATGGGAGGAGGGGAGTGTGTGGAAGTTGTTATTGTTTAGAAGGGGAATCCCCTTCCATTAGGACTTTAGGTAGCAAGTCCTTTTCCAGGGTTACTTACCTTCTTCTTTTAACCCTTTGAGGGTTTTCGTCGTACTAGTACGTCTTACGCGTAGGGGTTTTTGACGTACTAGTACTCATAAATTCTAGCGACCTCAAATCTAGTGGGAGAAAGCTGGTAGGCCTTCATATGAAAGAATGGGTCTATGTGGTCAGTGTGCACAGTCTAAAAAAAATCCTGCAGCACACGGTGCATAATGAGAAAAAAAAAACTTTTTCCATTTTTTTTAATAAATCAGCGACTTTGCAGTGTATTTTCGTATAGTATTTATTGTTGTATTCTAGTTTTCTTGGTCTCATTTTATAGAATGGAAGACATATTACTGAAATTGAGATGATTTTGACTGGTTTTACAATGAAAGGTGCCTTGAAATTGAGCTCAAAGTAGCAGAAATGTTCGATTTTTACCAAACTTCAAAAGTAAACAAATCGTGCCAAGCGTGCAATACACGTCAACTGGTGAGTCTAATATTCTTTCACAAGTGCACCAATAATATTTATACCATTTTTTACACTAATGCAGTAGTCTGCATAACAGTAAATCTTATATTTTTTGTGAGAATAAAAATTCAAAGTGGAAAGCAAAAGAATATAAGAGGGGCCTTGAGACGTGACTAATGACTAGAGGAAATGTCATTTTAGTGCCAGGAATGTCTTTCTTGTTTATTCTGGACCCTATTCCGAAATTGGCATCTTTTGAAATTTGTGTGAAATTGGCAAAATTGCTAAATTCTGACCACTGTACTGGATAGTTGAATTTATAAATGGGTGGTTTCTTGCACCCATTCGATAGAAAAAATGGAGTTCTAGCGAAATATTCATGTTTTTTGTTGACTAGTACAGTGAAATTGGCCGAAAATGGGGCTCAAAGTGGGCAAAATCGCCGATCCGTAAACATTGCCGAGACCGCTAACTTTGCGAGAGCATAATTCCGTAAGTTTTCTATCAAATTTCAAACTTTTGGTGTCGTTATGATCGGGAAAAGATTCTCTATCTTTTCATAAGAGAAAATAATTTTTTTTTTTTTTTAAATTTGGCCGACCCTGAGAACGAGTTTCGGAGAGGGCCTGTCGACCCTCAAAGGGTTAATGCCACTAGGACCAGCTTGAGAGCCAGTGGACCTCTGTCGCACAACATATCTGTCCATAGAGCTCTGCACCTCTTGTTCCTTTATGATTTGTCTAAAGTGGTTCACAACATTGTCATTGTAATAGTCACCAGCACAGCTTGCAATAGCTGTGTGAGGGTGATTTTCATCAATAAAGGTTTGCACTTCAAGCCACTTTGCACACATTTCCTTAATCTTTGAAGTAGACAACTTCTTCAATTTCTCCCTCCCCTCCTCTGAAGCAGTTTCCTCAGGTCTGGCCTCTTGCTGTTGAAGATGATCTTGCAGCTCATCAGTGGTTAGTTCTTAATTTGTTCTCCTCCACCAACTCTTCCACATCCTCCCCAGTAACCTCCAACCCCAAGGACTTCCCCAATGCCACAATTGATTCCACAACTGGCATACACTTCTCAGGGTTAGCCTCAAACCCTTCAAAATCCCTTTTGTCTAAACACTGTGGCCACAGTTTCTTCCAAGCAGAGTTCAAGGTCTTACCTATAAAGTTTACACAAAAAGATACTAAAGTGATCTTTCCAAAACTCTCTTAGAGTCAATCGAGTGTCTGAGGTCACTTCAAAGCACTTTTGAAACATAGCTTTTGTGTAGAGTTTTTTGAAGTTAGAAATGACCTGATGGTCCATGGGCTCCAGGAGAGGAGTGGTATTAGGAGGTAAAAACTTGACCTCAGTGAAGCTCATGTCCCCAGAAAGTCGCTCTGCCAAATCTGAAGGATGACCAGGAGCATTGTCTAATACCAGGAGGCACTTAAGGTCCAATTTCTTTTCCATTAGGTAATTTTTCACAGTGGGGGCAAATGCATGGTGTAACCAGTCATAGAAAAAGTCCCTAGTGACCCATGCCTTACTGTTTGTCCTCCACAGCACACACATTGAGGACATTGTTTTGCTTGAATGCTCTGGGAGTTTCAGTGATACACCACTAACATTAGCACACATCAAGAGAGTAAGCCTGTCTTTCATAGGCTTATGTCCTGGGAGTGCCTTTTCCTCCTGAGTAATGTAGGTCCTGTTTGGCATTTTCTTCCAAAACAGGCCTGTTTCATCACAATTAAACACTTGTTCAGGTTTCAGTCCTTCACTGTCTATGTAGTCCTTGAATTCCTGTACATATTTTTCAGCCGCTTTTTGTTCTGAACTGGCAGCCTCACCGTGCCTTGTCAAACTATGTATGCCACTACGAATCTTAAATCTCTCAAACTAACTTTTGCTGGCCTTAAATTCACTCACATCACCAATAGTTGCAGGCATTTTTCTAATTAAATCGCATGCAGCTTCTTAGCCTTTTCACATATGATCGCTTGAGAGATGGTATCTCCTGCTATCTGTTTTTCATTTATCCACACCAATAACAGTCTCTCAACATCTTCGAGTACTTGCGATTTCTGTTTTGAAAACAAACTTGCACCTTTTGCAAGAACAGCTTCCTTGATTGCCGTTTTGTTGGCCACAATAGTAGCGATGGTTGATTGGGGTTTGGTATGCAACCTGGCCAGCTCCGAGACACGCACTCCACTTTCGTACTTAGCAATTATCTCTTTCTTCATTTCCATAGTAATTTTCACCCTTTTTACCACAGGGTTGGCACTACAAGCTTTCTTGGGGCCCATGGTGACTTATTTTACAGCTATGATCACTAAAAACACTGTGATAATATGAAATGTACCGAATGTATACGTGGATGTGACCGCACTGGCTGGCTTGTAAACATTGGCACCCATGGGGCAGCTGAGGATAAGCGTGGGATGCGTCCTGGATGAATCGCGTGAGGCGAGATTTTTAGCGTCGGGCGAGGCAAAATTTTTGCATTAAAATGTATCGTATGGTGGATTTAACGTAACGCAATGCCATCGTAAGGCGGGGGTCCACTGTATATGGACAAATATACTAGCTCTTAAATTGGGGATAATCACAGACAACACTACTCATCACTACCCCACCTTCCTAATAACAAACATTTCTAACCGACCAGTGAAATATAGCAAGATATCTTTTCGACTCCATGATGAGGCATCAATAAATAACTTTACTGCAGAGCTAAGGTCAGTTGACTAGCCTACTGCCAATGGTATCAGTGAATGGATAGACATATATTTCTAGACAAAATACATAGACTATATTACAAACATTGTCCCATAAAAACTAAACTACGACTAAGTTGCCCTTGGCTTACTAACAGCATTCTAAGATCCAATGATAAGAAACATCTATATGAAAAATATATAGAAGGGGCTTCATAACTAAAGAATTTATTAAACACTATATGTCAGTCCTCATCAAACTAATAAGAAAGTCCAACAAACTGTACTATTCTAATAGATTCGCTGAAATGAGAGGAGATATAAAAAAGACTTGGGAGACACACACAGATCCTCACAACCCACAAGTTGAACAAAGCTAGAGATGTTGTCCTAACTATACTAAACGAACTGCAACACCAGCCTAATGAGATAAATGACCTTCTCATCCCTAGGATCAAGTCTCACCAGTAAAATTCCAGGCACTCAACATCCCTCTGTCTTGCACCATCTGAGCCTGTTGAAGTCACCATGATTATTAATTCACTAAAAAATAAATCAGGATATCTAGCTCATGTCACAACACTGTTGTTCAAATGAGCGACTCCTCTTGCCCATCATTACATTACTCTTTAACAAATCACTAGGAACTTCGCACACAAACTGACGTACAAACCACAGCCTAATAACTAATAACTGAACTAAGATGATATTTAATTCTCTTGTAGTCATTGTAACTTAAATTTATACTTACACTCACCTAAGAGATTATATGTATAAAATTACTCAAATTCTCATTGCCTTATTAATCTTGAGTCTTAAGTTTGCAAGAAATATTTTGCATATTATGGGGCTTTCTGCATGCACACCTAAATGTCATTCACTTCTCTACAAATATTGCTGAAATAATAATAATAATTATTATTATTACTACTACTACTACTACTACTACTATACTACTGTACTACTAGTACTACTATACTAACTACTACTACTATATTAACTACTACTACTTTTCTACTGAAGAAAGTTAAGACAATTGTGGAACATCTGGTTATCTTTATTGTAGATGTTTCGCCATGCAGTGGCTTTATCAATACAGATTCTTGGACATACTTAGAAAACAGAAGAACTATATACAAAAGATGAGGTAGTCAGTCCCTCAGCCTTGGAGGTGGTGTTCGGAGCACCAAGGTTGTAGAGATTCTGAAGCACAGGCAAGGAGACTGGCGCTTATATAGGCATCAGTGAATAGGGACGTGTAGCAGATGAGGGCATAGTCACTGGTACGCGGGATTCCCCAGTGGCCATGCCCTCGTCTGCTACATGTCCCTATTCACTGACGCCAATAGAAGCTCCAGTCTCCTTGCCTGTGCTTCAGAATTCAAATTCAAAGTTTATTCTCTATAAGGATTACAATGCTGAGTTTACAGAATTTGGTTATTGTGTGGTTTACATGTAGTAAAATACTAATTACAGAGCATACCACTAGAACACCTAGCATGGCTAGGCATTTCGGGCAGACTTAGATTAATTCTTAACTTTAAAATATTACAAATTATGAGGTAAGTTGGTATTATGGCTAAGTGACTAAATACTAGTTTGTGAGTTTAGCAATGTGAATGCTTTTGTTTTGGCACTATACATAGTTTCAGTATTGGAGTATCACAGGCCAACTTATGACTAGTTAGAATTCATTATTTTAAGATTGAGATTGATATTTCTGTTTATGGTCAAATGGGTGAGTGAGTGTAAGTGTGAACCACCAGGTGGTATTTGTGTAATTAGTTGACGTGGTGTATCAGGGAGATAAGATGTTTTCTAATGGTAGTTTTGAAGGTGATGAATGTGTCTGCAGTTCTAGAGTTTTCAGATAGGGTGTTCCAGATTTTAGGGCCTTTGACATACATTGAATTTTTGTAAAGGTTTAGTCTGACACGGGGAATGTCATAGAGATGTTTGTGTCTGGTGTTATGCCTGTGGGTTCTGTCACAACTATCAAGAAAGTGTTTTAGGTCAAAGTTAATATTGGAATTTAAGGTCCTGTAGATGTAGATTGCACAGTAGTAAGTGCGGATCTACTGAACAGGGAGTATACTATACTACTACTACTACTATACTACTACTATACTACTACTACCACTACACATTAACATAAAAATAACCTGACCAACCTTAGATAACTGGCTTGTTAATGGTGCTTCAATCTTCTGTTGCTGATACTCAAGCTCCTGCTGCTGCTGCTGCTGCCCTACCGCTGATAACTTGGCAGCAACAATAGTGGCAGGGTTCAGACCCGTCACAGAGACCAGTTGCTCACGAAAATACTCACAGTTGGCGAAATGTAGTGGCCCACAGAACTGGTATATCTTCACTCTGGGCACCTCTGCTGTCTGGCCAGGGCAAGAAAACACAAGTGCTCATTGGGATTTAGAAGGGAAAAAAAGGAAATGATTTCTTGTGGATTTGGCTTGCTGTTAACTAAATGGAAAATTGAAATGTACAAAAAAATTAATTCTGACAAATACAAGACTGACTTTGTTTACTGGGGTATTAATGTTATTATGTGTGCCTAGTTCCTTGTCTAAACAACACGATGACAATCAGCTCTCTTGCCTGCATTCCCTCTATATACAGTCAAATCTCTTATAAAGCTACTTTATACCTGGAGACCTGGAGTATACCTGGAGAGGGTTTTGGGGGTCAACAGCCCCATGACCCGATCTGAGACCAGACCTCATGGTGGAATCAGGGTCTGATCAATAAAGCTTTTACTGCTGGCAGCACGCAAACTGATGTATGAACCACAGCCCAGCTGGTCAGGGACTAACTTTAGGTGCCTGTCCAGTGCCTTCCTGAAGACAGCCAGGGGTTTATTGGTAATCCCCCTTATGTATGCTGGGAGGCCAATGAACAGTCTTGGGCTCCTGACACTTATTGTGTTGTCTCTTATTGTGCTAGTGGCACCCCTGCTTTTCATTGGGAGGATGTTGCATCTCCTGCCGAGTCTTTTGCTTTCATAGGGAGTGATTTTCATGTGCAAGTTTGGTACTAATCCCTCTAGGATTTTCCAAGTATATATTATCACGTATATCTCTTGCCTGCATTCCAGGGAATACAAATCAAGGGACTTCAACCGTTCCCAGTAATTTACGTTAGTACAAATCCTGTATATGGAAATCTCACGTTAAATCAGATTTAATCTCCTATATCCAGTTTATATTTTCTCTCTCTCATACCATCTCAAAGAAAGGAATTAATGATTGAACTTACCATGGAATATTTGTTGACATCTAAATACACGTCGGTGTTGGGAACTTGTCCGAGGTGAACAGTTTTGGGCTTGTGTGAGCGACCCACCAGGACCAGAAGTGACATCACGATGCCCATCAATAGACCGTAGTTAATGTCAATGATGACCACACCCAGGAAGGTCGTCAACCAAATCAAGGCATCAGCATGGGACATGGCCCACACCTTCTTCAGGTCAGCCACTTGCATGAACATGCCCTTTATTGCCACAATGATGATTGATGACAGGACGCACTGCCAAGGTGAAACACCATGTTAGTAACCCAAGTGTTAACTTATGTGAGTATGATGGGCTAGTGGGAGTACTGGTAATGAGGAGGAAGTTGAAAAGGTATGGGGTAGACTGAAGAAAGCAGTGTTAAAATGCTAAGAAGTTTGTGGATATAGGAGGGTGGGTACAGGAGGGAAGAGGAGTGATTGGTGGAATGATGAGGTACAGAGAATGGTAAGAGAGAAAAAGTTAGCATGCGAGAGGGTTTTTTTTACATAGAAGTGATATAAGGAGGAAGGAGCATATGGAGAGAAAAAGAGAGGTAAAGAGAATGGTGATGTAATGTAAAAAGAGAACAAATGAGAGAATGGGTGAGGTGCTGTCAACAAATTTTGCTGAGAATAAGAAAAAGTTTTGGAGTATGATTTAATAAATTCAGAAAGCCTAGCGAACAAATGGATTTGACAGTTAAAATTAGAAGAGGGGAGTTATTAGATGGGGGAATTGGAGGTATCGGGAAGATGGAGAGAATATTTTGAGGAATTGTTAAATGTCGAAGATAGGGAAGCTGTGATTTCATGCATTGGCCAGAGAGGTATAACATCTTTTAGGAGTGAAGAAGAGTTAGATGTGAATGTGGGGGAGGTGTGCGAGGCTGTGTATGGAATGAAAGGGGTTAAAGTAGCTGGAATTGATGGGATCAACACTGAAATCTTAAAAGCAGATGGGGATATAGTTTTGGAGTGGTTGGTGCTTTTATTTAATAAATGTATGAAAGTGGGTAAAGTACCTAGGGATTGGCAGAGAGCATGAATAGTTCCTTTGTATAAAGGAGAATGTTAGAATTATAGGGCAAAGAGAATGTTAGAATTATAGGGCAAAAATCTATTGAGTATACCTGGTAAGGTGTAGTAGTTATTACTGAAAGAATTAAGAGTAAGATGGAGAGTAGGTCAACATGACTCACGAAATCATAATGACATGATTGCAAACAAACCATACCATGGGCAGGGTATGGTCCCCTCAAACCCGTCATGTTGATGGCTTTGAGGGGATTTGAGCTAGAGTTCGTCACGGCCATGCTAGCTGGAGATTTGTCTGTAAAAACTCGCATTTGTGGTCACAATGGTGCCTATGCTAACCTTCCTATGATGTATAAATATACCTAGTCGGATGAATCTTATTGTGGTTAGCTGGCCCAGTGGCTAACGCAATGGTCTGGAGTTTTGAGACTCTCTGATCGCGGGTTCTAACCCCGCCTATGGTATGGTTTGGAGAGTAGGATTGCAGATGTACAAGGGGGCTTTAGGAAGGGTAGGGGATGTGTAGACCAAGGTTTTACATTGAAGCATGTAAGTTAAAAATATTTAGATGAGGGTAAGGAAGATTTTGTTGCATTAGTAATTGATTTGGAAAAAGCATATGATAAGGTGGATATGGGAACAATATGGCAGATGTTGCAAATGTATGGAATAGGCAGCAGGTTGCTGAAAGTAGTTTTTATGAGTAGTGAGGCTCAGGTTAAGGAATATAAGAGAGAGGGAGAATATTTTCCAGTAAAGGTAGGCCTTAAACAGGGATGCATGATGTCACCATGGTTGCTTAACATGTTTATAAATGGGGCTGTAAAAGAAGTGAATGCTAGGGTGTTGGGTAGAAATGTTACTTATGTAGAAATGTGGGATTAAAAGATAAAGAACCTAATACCAAGTGGGAGTTGTCACAATTGTTGTTTACTGATGACACAGAGGTCAGTATTGTCTTGACATAGCTGCTGACGAATAAGACGTAGCCATAAGAAACGTCTTATAATATCTGAACTTGTCCCTTTACCTAACAATGTCAGTGGTTTTACCAGTAATAAATCAATGTGAAAAATTACTGAAATGTATAAGATATTTTGATGAGGAGAGATTATATTGTTGTGTAAGAGTTTCCAGCAAGAGTGAGTCTTAGACACTGATCTGTGATGACACCAGACTGTAAAGAGAAAGTTGAAACTGAATACAGGGAAGATGAAGATAATGAGAATGGGGAGAATATGTTAAGAATGATTAGAAGTAAGGGAGAGAGTGCAAAGAAGTGTATTCTGTACCAGAGAGTGAATATTACCAGGTGAATTCATCAGGACGATGGTGCTTTAGGAATATGTGGGAAATAAGACTGCTGATGAATACGACTATGTGAATGAATTAAGTTAAAAGAGTAACGACAAGGAAGAGGTTGTAAGGTGCCAGTCAGATATCAGTATTGTAAAACTGACTGCCACACTGGTAACTGTGCAAACGAAAACACAAATGAATTTAAGGTGAGTTACAACCTGTTGACTCTAGCAAATGATACTCACATTGGGGAGAGTTTCAAACAAAGGTCCCACAAACAGTAAAACGAAGAGCAGGAGGCTGCAGCACACTAAGGAAGACAACTGTGTCTTGCCACCAACTCCTTCCAAAATCAAAGTCCGGGAAAACGATGCAGATATGGGAGCACATCCAAAGAACGACCCAAAAAAATTGCTCACACCCTGGAAAGATATACATAAATGAAACATAAAGTAAAATCAAGATGTGGGTAAAATATATCAACACTGGATAAGATTAAATATATAAATAGTTCACTACTTTATACCCATCTTGTGAGTCATTAAACTGACATTACAGTTCAAATAGCCCTTACACCTAACATCCCCACCCTCTCCTTCAGAGTGCAGGCACTGTACCACCCACCTCCAGGACTCGAGCCTGACTAACCGGTTTCCCTGAACATTCTCCATTATTCTAACCTCTGAATAATAAGTCTCAGACTGACTCTTACCATAGCATAGAGTTCCTGTGTTGCATCAATGGGGTAGTTGTGTCGCTTGGCAAAGATCTTGGCCATAGAGAAGGACACAGTGAAGGAAATAACGCAGATGAAGACAGAGTCCATTGCAACAGCAGGCAACAGCTCGAAGGGTGGTGGTGTAGGTTTGGGCAACCTGCAACATTGTCAAGTTTCAACTCAGCCCTCACTGCATCTCAGTTTAAAAGAGCTATGTGGAGTTTTAAAAACTAGATTTATACTATGTTATTACATTATTATGTACTTGTATATGTCAACATTTTTTTTTTTAACAAGTCGGGCATCTGCCACCGAGGCAGGGTGACCAAAAAGAAAGAAAATCCCCAAAAAGAAAATACTTTCATCATCATTCAACACTTTCACCTCACTCACACAATCAGTTTATGCAGAGGTGCTCAGAATACAACAGTTTAGAAATTTCCGTGACTACTCACATTATTAAGGAACAATAAAAGTAATGCATCAAAGGAAGGCATATAAAGGGTCTAGACCACACCTCATTATCACATCCCACAACAAAGCAACATCTGACGTGTGACTCATAAGAAAGAGAACACTGCAGCAGGTTCCCTTGGCCAAACTAGACAGGTCCTTCATGCAACCCACAAACAAACTATTCTACCCAAGAATTAAGAATTTTTAAATTTATTATTTGTCCAATGTATTATTAAATTCTTCCCAAATTCTATTAATTATAAATTGATCTAATTTATATAAACCAAAGGAAATATTCATATTATTGTCAAAACTGCTTTTTATGAAACAAGATTCAATTATACAGTGGACCCCCTAGTTTCGGCAGCCTCGACTTTTGTGAAATTCGACCTTCGGTAAGTTTTTTTGGAAAAATTTGGCCTCGAGTTTCGTGAAAAGACTCGTGTTTCGGCGACCATCCGGTACCCGTCCACCAGTCACTGCGCACACCAAACCAGTCTCCCACGCCATTCACGCTCAGTGTGCCATTGTTTACCAACACGTGACCATCACCCCGTGGGTTCATACAATACATTTCATAATAATCCATTGTTTTTTGTGCTTGCAACTGCTAAATAAGTCATCATGGACCCAAGGAAAGCTAGTGCAAGCCCTTTGGTAAATAAAGTGAGTGACGAGGATGTGGAAGAGTTGATGGAGGACCACAGGGAAGAGCTAACCACTGATGAACTGCAAGAGCTTCAACTGGAACAGCATCAGACCACAGCCGAGGAATTTGCTTCAGAGGAGGAGGAAGAGGGAGTGGATGAGGTGCCTTCTTCAGTGATTAAGGACATGTGTGGAATGTGGAATGAGTTGCAAAGTTTTGTTGAAAAGTATCACCCTGACCAAGCTGAAACAAGCCGTATCTGCAACATGTACAATGACAGTGTTGTGTCCCACTTCAGGGAAATCTTAAAGAAACACCAGAAAAAGATCTCTCTGGACAGATATTTTGTGCGACAGGGGTCCAGTGACTCTCAAGTTGTTCCCAGTGGCATTAAAAGAAGAAGGGAAGTAACCCGAGATAAGGACTTGCTACCTAAAGTCCTAATGGAAGGAGATTCTCCTTCCAAACAATAGTGTACACCTTCCTCCTATCCCCTCCTCCCGTCTTCCATCCACGCAGAAGTCTTCAGTAAAGGTAAGTGTAATGTTATTATTATTTTTTTAAATGCATGTACTTGATTTCTGATTGTTTTCATTATGTAAATCTTTATTTAATTTGAAAAAAAAATATTTTATTTTAATATTTTTGGGTGTCTGGAACGGGTTAATTTTTTTTTTTTATTATTTTTTTATTATCACACCGGCCGATTCCCACCAAGGCAGGGTGGCCCGAAAAAGAAAAACTTTCACCATCATTCACTCCATCACTGTCTTGCCAGAAGGGTGCTTTACACTACAGTTTTTAAACTGCAACATTAACACCCCTCCTTCAGAGTGCAGGCACTGTACTTCCCATCTCCAGGACTCAAGTCCGGCCTGCCGGTTTCCCTGAATCCCTTCATAAATGTTACTTTGCTCACACTCCAACAGCACGTCAAGTATTAAAAACCATTTGTCTCCATTCACTCCTATCAAAAAACGCTCAAGCATGCCGGGTGGAAGTCCAAGCCCCTCGCACACAAAACCTCCTTTACCCCTCCCTCCAACCCTTCCTAGGCCGACCCCCACCCCGCCTTCCTTCCACTACGACTGATACACTCTTGAAGTCATTCTGTTTCGCTCCATTCTCTCTACATGTCCGAACCACCTCAACCAACCCTTCCTCAGCCCTCTGGACAACAGTTTTGGTAATCCCCCCACCTCCTCCTAACTTCCAAACTACGAATTTCCTGCATTATATTCACACCACACATTGCCCTCAACATGACATCTTCCACTGCCTCCAGCCTTTCTCCTCGCTGCAACATTCATCACCCACGCTTCACACCCATATAAGAGCGTTGGGAAAACTATACTCTCATACATTCCCCTCTTTGCCTCCCCCAAAGGGCAAAGTTCTTGCTCCACAGACTCCTAAGTGCACCACTCACTCTTTTTCCCCATCAATTCTATGATTCACCTCATCTTTCATAGACCCATCCGCTGACACGTCCCTCCCAAATATCTGAATACGTCACCTCCTCCATACTCCTCCCTCCAATCTGATATTCAATCTTTCATCACCTAATCTTTTTGTTATCCTCATAACCTTACTCTTTCCTGTATTCACCTTTAATTTTCTTCTTTTGCACACCCTACCAAATTCATCCCCCCAACTCTGCAACTTCTCTTCAGAATCTCCCAAGAGCACAGTGTCATCAGCAAAGAGCAGCTGTGACAACTCCCACTTTGTGTGTGATTCTTTATCTTTTAACTCCACGCCTCTTGCCAAGACCCTCGCATTTACTTCTCTTACAACCCCATCTATAAATATATTAAACAACCACGGTGACATCACACATCCTTGTCTAAGGCCTACTTTTACTGGGAAAAAATTTCCCTCTTTCCTACATACTCTAACTTGAGCCTCACTATCCTCGTAAAAACTCTTCACTGCTTTCAGTAACCTACCTCCTACACCATACACTTGCAACATCTGCCACATTGCCCCCCTATCCACCCTGTCATACGCCTTTTCCAAATCCATAAATGCCACAAAGACCTCTTTAGCCTTATTTCCATTATTTCTTATGGGGAAAATGGTTTCGAGTTTCGTGAATTTCGACCTTTGGCAGGCTCTCTGGAATGGATTAATCACGAAACTCGGGGGTCCACTGTATTCCTGTCGACCATGGACTTGCTTGATACAACTTTCTCAACTTTTTGAAAATCAATTGGATGGTTAAAATCTCTCATATGAATAAATAGAGCATTGGAATCTTGTCCAGTTCTAATGCTATATTTGTGTTGTTTTAATCTTAGTTCGAGACTTTTACCAGTTTGACCGTAATAAACTTTATCGCAAATTTTACAAGGAATCTTACAGATACATCCGTCAGCATTTTGGGGGGAATTCTTTATCGAAGGTTTTTTTTACTGTATCAAGATTCTTAAATACAACTTTGATATTAAAAGTCTTAAGAAGAGAAGGTATATCAACCAAGTTTTCATGGCGTGACTCTCCCCCAACCTGGTAAGGGAGAACCAACATATTTTTAGTTGAATAAGGCTGGTTGTCCCTTTTTGGATTGTAAAAAGTATTTCTAGCAATTTTAAAAGATTTATCAGTTACGTTTCTTGAGTATTTCAAATCATTAGCTATTTCATAAATTTTGGATATTTCCTCATCTATGAACTGTGGACTACAAATACACAAAGCTCTCAAAAACATTGATGAGAAAACAGACAGTTTAACTCTATCTTGATGTGAAGAATAATAGTGTACATAGGAACAGTTATTTGTAGATTTTCTGTAAATTTTAAATTTGAATTCGTTATTACCCTTAATAATTAAAACATCTAGAAAAGGCAATGAGTTATTTTCCTCAAACTCAACAGTAAAGTTTATAGAATGGGCAAAGCTATTTAATTTACCAAGGAAATGGTGTATATCTACATTCTTGAGCATAAGACACAAAATACCATCAACATATCTGAACCATTTAGCTCTATTAGGGAGGATTGTGTTAAGCAGCCTTGTTTCAAAAAATTCCATGTATAGGTTACTAAAAACAGGTGAAAGGAGATTTCCCATTGCCATACCAAACTTCTGAGTGTAAAACTTATCATTAAATACAAATTTTGCATCAACAATGCAAAGTTTAATAAGTTTAATGATAGTAGGAACTGTCAATGGTAAATTATAATTAACGAGTTCTTCAGATAAGAAACTTAATAAATCATCAACAGGAACTTTCATAAACAAGAAAGTAACATCAAAACTAACCATGTTAAAATCATTTAAGTCGGTCAAGGAGCTTAATTTATTTACTAAATCTATGTTGTTTTTAACATTAAAGTTAAAAATTCGACTTAATTTTTTTTTAATTATTAAGGGTAATAATGAATTCAAATTTAAATTTTACAGAAAACCTACAAATAACTGTTATTCTTCACATCAAGATAGAGTTAAACTGCCTGTTTTCTCATCAATGTTTTTGAGAGCTTTGCATATTTGTAGTCCAGAGTTCATAGATGAGGAAATATCTAAAATTTATGAAATAGCTAATGATTTGAAATACCCAAGAAACGTAATTGATAAATCTTTTAAAATTGCTAGAAATACTTTTTACAATCCAAAAAGGGACAACCAGCCTTATTCAACTAAAAATATGTTGGTTCTCCCTTACCATGAAAACTTACTTGATATACCTTCTCTTCTTAAGACTTTTAATATCAAAGTTGTATTTAAAAATCTTGATACAGTAAAAAAAACTTTTGATAAAGAACTCCCCCCAAAATGCTGACGGATGTGTCTATAAGATTCCTTGTAAAATTTGCGATAAAGTTTATTACAGTCAAACTGGTAAAAGTCTCGAACTAAGATTAAAACAACATAAATATAGCATTAGAACTGGACAAGATTTCAATGCTCTATTTATTCATGTGAGAGATTTTAACCATCCAATTGATTTTCAAAAAGTTGAGAAAGTTGTATCAAGCAAGTCCATGGTCGACAGGAATATAATTGAATCTTGTTTCATAAAAAGCAGTTTTGACAATAATATGAATATTTCCTTTGGTTTATATAAATTAGATCAATTTATAATTAATAGAATTTGGGAAGAATTTAATAATACATTGAACAAATATTTTATTATTTTTTTTATTATCACACTGGCCGATTCCCACCAAGGCAGGGTGGCCCGAAAAAGAAAAACTTTCACCATCATTCACTCCATCACTGTCTTGCCAGAAGGGTGCTTTACACTACAGTTTTTAAACTGCAACATTAACACCCCTCCTTCAGAGTGCAGGCACTGTACTTCCCATCTCCAGGACTCAAGTCCGGCCTGCCGGTTTCCCTGAATCCCTTCATAAATGTTACTTTGCTCACACTCCAACAGCACGTCAAGTATTAAAAACCATTTGTCTCCATTCACTCCTATCAAACACGCTCACGCATGCCTGCTGGAAGTCCAAGCCCCTCGCACACAAAATCTCCTTTACCCTCTCCCTCCAACCTTTCCTAGGCCGACCCCTACCCCGCCTTCCTTCCACTACAGACTGATACACTCTTGAAGTCACTCTGTTTCGCTCTATTCTCTCTACATGTCCGAGCCACCTCAACAACCCTTCCTCAGCCCTCTGGACAACAGTTTTGGTAATCCCGCACCTCCTCCTAACTTCCAAACTACGAATTCTCTGCATTATATTCACACCACACATTGCCCTCAGACATGACATCTCCACTGCCTCCAGCCTTCTCCTCGCTGCACCATTCATCACCTATGCTTCACACCCATATAAGAGCGCTGGTAAAACTATACTCTCATACATTCCCCTCTTTGCCTCCAAGGACAAAGTTCTTTGTCTCCACAGACTTCTAAGTGCACCACTCACCCTTATCCCCTCATCAATTCTATGATTCACCTCATCTTTCATAGACCCATCCGCTGACACGTCCACTCCCAAATATCTGAATACATTCACCTCCTCCATACTCTCTCCCTCCAATCTGATATCCAATCTTTCATCACCTAATCTTTTTGTTATCCTCATAACCTTACTCTTTCCTGTATTCACTTTTAATTTTCTTCTCTTGCACACCCTACCAAATTCATCCACCAATCTCTGCAACTTCTCTTCAGAATCTCCCAAGAGCACAGTGTCATCAGCAAAGAGCAACTGTGACAACTCCCACTTTATGTGTGATTCTTTATCTTTTAACTCCACGCCTCTTGCCAAGACCCTCGCATTTACTTCTCTTACAACCCCATCTATAAATATATTAAACAACCACGACGACATCACACATCCTTGTCTGAGGCCTACTTTTACTGGGAAATAATTTCTCTCTTTCCTACATACTCTAACTTGAGCCTCACTATCCTCATAAAAACTCTTCACACACACATTTTTATGAAGACTCGAGATAAGTCGTAAGAAACAACTTTAATATATAAAAGGATTAAGTTTAGATACATGGCATACATAAGTACAATTATCATACATAGTGTAAATTAGCCAGGATAACCCAAAAAGTCAAAGTGACTTATATCCACTTGGGTCCTGGTACATGTCAGGACCACCGTTCAAGTCCTCTCTATTCTGACATAATTTGCACACACATACGTGTCTAACTGGATGCATCTTCCTCTCCCTCGGATTGAACCCGATTGCCTCTCATTCCCCAGGTGATATGTAACCTATACAGGTACAGCTCTTCACTCCTCCCTCAATAAAAGAACAGTAAGGCATATCGTTCTCTTGACTCACCCAGTAGGGATTTCTCCCAGAATTTCAATATTGTACTTTCTGTGTAGGTTGGCCAGGTAGGAGCACAGTGTTGCACTTGCCACAACAATCAACTCAATGGGAAGAGGAAATTTGGTTTTCTTGCGCAACCATGGCTGCAAAGAGAAGGTCAAAATTAATCATCTTGCAATGCAGAACATGATTTTTTGGGTGTTGGAAAATTATCTGAATTTAAGCAGTGTGTTCGAGAGTGTTCAGGATAGTCACCATAAGTCTGGCCACATTTCATTTGGTTTGATCACCATGTGTGTCTGCCAAACTTCAAGTACTTGTAACCAAGCTTAAGCCTGCCAAACTTGTAATCAAGCTTAGGCCTAGCCATTTCAACATCAGTCAGTGTGTCTGCCAAACTGCCAGAAGTACTTGTGACCAAACAGGTATAGTGCCTTGATACCTCATGTACAACTTCCTCTTCCACCCACAGCATGGGTATATATGCTGCATAATAACCCTTTTGAACTCAAAACTATCTCAGACACCAGAGCTACGATTGTTTTCAAGCTTTCTTTGCATCATAATAGAAAAAACTGTCCTCTGCTCCGTTGTGCTATATGACCCTTGTAGGTTTAGCTCTTCTTTTTTATTATAATAATATCTATGTGAGGGTCATTGAAGCTAGACATCACTAGTTCACAACCAGTTAAGAATACCTAACATGTGAATAATACACTAAGGGAACTACACCTTTGGGTATATTACTCTCCTAACTCTCATAACTTGTGTTGTAATAGCATAACTTGTGTTGTAATAGCATAACTTGTGCTGTAATAGCATAACTTTTGTTGTAATAGCATAACTTGTGTTGTAATAGCATAACTTGTGTTGTAATAGCATAACTTGTGCTGTAATAGCATAACTTGTGCTGTAATAGCATAACTTGTGTTGTAATAGCATAACTTGTGCTGTAATAGCATAACTTGTGCTGTAATAGCATAACTTGTGTTGTAATAGCATAACTTGTGCTGTAATAGCATAACTTGTGTTGTAATAGCATAACTTGTGTTGTAATAGCATAACTTGTGTTGTAATAGCATAACTTGTGCTGTAATAGCATAACTTGTGCTGTAATAGCATAACTTGTGCCATAATAGCATAACTTGTGCCGTAATAGCATAACTTGTGCTGTAATAGCATAACTTGTGCTGTAATAACATAACTTGTGTTGTAATAGCATAACTTGTGTTGTAATAGCATAACTTGAGGCAGCCGTTAATAACTTCACAACAGCAGTAACAAACATTGACTGGCACACTGAGCTAGAAATCTATACAGATATTGACGAATGTTTTAATAATTTTCTAAAAAAGACCCAATACCTCTATAACAAGCACTGCCCTAAAAAAACTAAACAGATGACAGATGAACAGTCCCTGGCTAACACCCAGCATTCTCAAATCCATAAATACAAAACACTGATATGAAAAACAGTACAGAATGGGTCACATAACCAGAGACCAAACAAAACGTTACTCGTCAATCCTAACCAGCCTGATAAGAAAGGCAAAAAAATTGTATTATGAGAACAGATTATCCAACTTACGAGGTGATATAAAAAAGACCTGGAAGACCCTATCAGAAATTCTGGGAACAAAAAAGATATCATGAAATAGCGAAATAAAATTACCAAAATCAGATGAACCCCAACTCCCACCAACAGAAACAGCAAACAGACTCAATGATTTCTTCTCCACTATAGGACAAAACCTTGCCAATAAAATCCCAAGCTCAGATACCCCACCAAATGACTACTTCACTGGCAACTACCCGAACACACTGTTCCTAGCTCCGACTAACCCTTACGAAGTCTCCCTTATTATCAACGCACTAAAAAACAAGGCAGGAGATTTAAATACCTTAACACCCTTTATATACAAAAAAGTGTCACAAGTACTATCACCAATCATTGCAACACTCTTTAACAAATCCATTGAATCCTCCACCTTCCCTACAGTTCTCAAAATAGCAAGGGTCACCCCGATCCATAAAGGAGGAGACCAAACAGAGTTGAATAACTATAGGCCAATATCCAATTTAGACCCTCTCTCAAAAATCTTCGAAAAATTAATTCATAAACGAATCTACTCCTACCTCATCTCCCAAAACATTCTCAACCCCTGCCAATTTGGATTCAGGCCTAATAAAAATACTAATGATGCTATTATACACATGCTAGAACATATATACACTGCAATAGAGAAAAAAGAAGTCCCACTGGGGATCTTCATTGACTTACGTAAAGCTTTTGATACAGTTGGCCATGACTTGCTCCATGTAAAATTGTCACACTATGGTATTAGAAGGCACTCCCTCAACTACCTCAAGTCATACCTCAGCAACAGAAGCCAATATGTGTACGCAAATGGGGGCAAGCTCTTCCGCACAACCAATTACAGTTGGTGTCCCACAGGGAAGTGTCCTTGGCCCTCTCCTCTTTCTCCTATACATAAATGACCTACCAAATGCTTCACAATTACTCAAACCCACACTTTTTGCAGATGACACTACATACGTCTTCTCTCACCCGAGCCCAGTCACGCTAGCCAATACTGTAAACACCGAATTACAGAAAATATCTACCTGGATGAGGACTAACAAACTTACACTAAACATTGGCAAAACCTACTTCATTCAGTTTGGTAACAGAGCTACAGATGTACCTCTTAACATAACGATAAACGGATCACCTATCACAAAGCTAACAGAGGGAAAATTCTTAGGAATCCACCTTGATAATAGACTCAAATTTCACACACATATACAACAAATTTCTAAGAAAATTTCCAAGACTGTAGGCATACTATCGAAGATACGGTACTATGTTCCACAGTCAGCCCTCCTGGCCCTTTATCACTCTCTTATTTACCCCTATCTCACCTATGGAATTTGTGCATGGGGCTCAACAACAATTAACCATCTCAGACCACTAATTACCCAACAAAAGGCTGCAGTTAGAATGATAACAAATTCTCACTACAGGCAGCACACTCCACCAATATTCAAAACACTCAACCTACTCACCATACAAAACATCCATACTTATTACTGCACCTATTACATACATAGAACACTTAACTCTGATATTAACCCTCCCCTCAAACATCTCCTTGCCAACCTCAACAGAACACATGACCATAACACAAGGCACAGATCACTCTTTGATGTTCCTCGTGTCCATCTCACGCTATGCAAAAACTCAATGCACATAAAAGGCCCTAAAATCTGGAATTCATTACCTGTAAATATAAAAGAAACACTACCTGTTTATAAATTCAAGTCTCTTCTCAAAGATCACTTACTCACTCAAAACCAAATAAATCCTGAATAACTGAACCTTATAAATTGTATATCCTAAATGTTACTCACAATTATATCACACAAATGTTAAACCTAGGACCCAATCTAACTTTGTTATTTTTTAAAATACACTACCTAACAGAATACTCCATTCGACTGAATGTACAACAATGTATGCAACCATATGACCTGTCTTTGTAATACTCATTTGTGCTTTATAGTTATCTGTTTACAATAATGTCTTATCACTGATTTCATCATTGCTTAGTTAATCTTAAGTTAATTTTAAGCCAGCCCGTAATGCTATGCATATAAGTGGCTTTGGCATGCTGCTCTTACCTGTATTTTTTTGTACCTCTGTATGTATGCTAAAATTACTAAATAAATAAATAAATAAAAAAAACTTGTGTTGTAATAGCATAACTTGTGCTGTAATAGCATAACTTGTGTTGTAATAGCATAACTTGTGCTGTAATAGCATAACTTGTGCTGTAATGGCATAACTTGTGCTGTAATAGCATAGCTTATGCTATGTTAAGCAAAAGAAGAGAGAGAGAGAGAGAGAATATTTACCTTGACAAGTTCATTATTAATGACTAGTACAGCCATGGTGAGTGCTGATATAAACACAGTAGCTGGGTTACTACTCAAGACTTGAGCTAAAGTGTCTTGAAGAATCTGCAAAACAAATATTGGTATTGTTATTATTATTATTATTATTATTATTAGTAGTAGTAGTAGTAGTAGTAGTAGTAGTAGTATTAGTATTATTAGTATTATTAGTATTATTAGTATTATTAGTATTATTAGTATTATTATTATTATTATTATTATTATTATTATTATTATTATTAGTATTATTATTAGTATTATTAGTATTAGTAGTAGTATTTGTAGTAGTATTAGTAGTAGTAGTATTAGTAGTAGTATTAGTAGTAGTATTAGTATTAGTAGTAGTATTAGTAGTAGTATTAGTATTAATAGTATTAACAGAACACATGACCATAACACAAGGCACAGATCACTCTTTGATGTTCCTCGTGTCCATCTCACGCTATGCAAAAACTCAATGCACATAAAAGGCCCTAAAATCTGGAATTCATTACCTGTAAATATAAAAGAAACACTACCTGTTTATAAATTCAAGTCTTTTCTCAAAGATCACTTACTCACCCAAAACCAAATAAATACTGAATAACTGAACCTTATAAATTGTATATCTTAAATGTTTCTCACAATTATATCACATAAATGTTAAACCTAAAACCCAATCTAACAGAATACTCCATTCGACTGAATGTACAGCAATGCATGCAACCATATGACCTGTCTTTGTAATACTCATTTGTGCTTTATAGTTATCTGTTTACAATAATGTCTTATCACTGATTTCATCATTGCTTAGTTAATCTTAAGTTAATTTTAAGCCAGCCCGTAACGCTATGCATATAAGTGGCTTTGGCATGCTGCTCTTACCTGTATTTTTTTGTACCTCTGTATGTTTGCTAAAATTACTAAATAAATAAATAAATAAATAAAAAGTATTGGTATTAGTAGTATTAGTATTAGTAGTATTAGTATTAGTAGTAGTAATAGTAGTAGTAATAGTAGTAGTAGTAATAGTAGTAGTAGTAATAGTAGTAGTAATAGTAGTAGTAGTTAGTAGTTATTATTATTGTTATTATTATTATTATTATTATTGTTGTTGTTGTTGTTGAATACTGAAAATGGTAAACAGTACCTACAAGGCACTGGGAATTCAAAGAATTTATTTCGAAAAAAATCGGCTATTTGGAATACCTTCTACTCTGAGCCTTTCAACCCACTGTAGAGATAGGTACATAGATAGTATATAGTAGTAGTAGTGGTACCAGTAGTAGTAGCAGTTGTAGTAGAAGTTTTAGTAGCAATAGTAGTAATAGCAGCAGTACTGTCAACATTTTCTTACGTATATAACATTGAAAGGTCCGTCGTATCTACGGACATGGACGCCCAAGAGATATTTAAGTTGTGATACAAGCACTTGAACCGCCGCTGCCGTGGTGAAACCTGACACTAACATGTCCGAGAGGAACACACTGAGGTTGCCCACACTCACTACGCCCAGCACAACCTGCAATAACAACAACAAAATTAGTCCAGTTTTTATCAAGATGCAAAAACCAAGTCACCTTACTACCCCTATGGCAGTAGAGGCAGCAGGTGAGAAAGTCACCTTACTACCCCTATGGCAGTAGAGGCAGCAGGTGAGAAAGTCACCTTACTACCCCTATGGCAGTAGAGGCAGCAGGTGAGAAAGTCACCTTACTACCCCTATGGCAGTAGAGGCAGCAGGTGAGAAAGTCACCTTACTACCCCTATGGCAGTAGAGGCAGCAGGTGAGAAAGTCACCTTACTAAACCCTATGGTAGTAGGAGGCAGCAGGTGAGAAAGTCACCTTACTACCCTATGGCAGTAGAGGCAGCAGGTGAGAAAGTCACCTACTACCCCTATGGCAGTAGAGGCAGCAGGTGAGAAAGTCACCTTACTACCCCTATGGCAGTAGAGGCAGCAGGTGAGAAAGTCACCTTACTAACCCTATGGTAGTAGAGGCAGCAGGTGAGAAAGTCACCTTACTACCCCTATGGCAGTAGAGGCAGCAGGTGAGGAAAGTCACCTTACTACCCCTATGGCAGTAGAGGCAGCAGGTGAGAAAGTCACCTTACTACCCCTAATGGCAGTAGAGGCAGCAGGTGAGAAAGTCACCTTACTACCCCTATGGCAGTAGAGGCTAGCAGGTGAGAAAGTCACCTTACTACCCCTATGGCAGTAGAGGCAGCAGGTGAGAAAGTCACCTTACTACCCCTATGGCAGTAGAGGCAGCAGGTGAGAAAGTCACCTTACATACCCCTATGGCAGTAGAGGCAGCAGGTGAGAAAGTCACCTTACTACCCTATGGCAGTAGAGGCAGCAGGTGAGAAAGTCACCTTACTACCCCTATGGCAGTAGAGGCAGCAGGTGAGAAAGTCACCTTACTACCCCTATGGCAGTAGAGGCAGCAGGTGAGAAAGTCACCTTACTACCCCTATGGTAGTAGAGGCAGCAGGTGAGAAAGTCACCTTACTACCCCTATGGCAGTTAGAGGCAGCAGGTGAGAAAGTCACCTTACTACCCCTATGGCAGTAGAGGCAGCAGGTGAGAAAGTCACCTTACTACCCCTATGGTAGTAGAGGCAGCAGGTGAGAAAGTCACCTTACTACCCTATGGTAGTAGAGGCAGCAGGTGAGAAAGTCACCTTACTACCCCTATGGTAGTAGAGGCAGCAGGTGAGAAAGTCACCTTACTACCCCTATGGCAGTAGAGGCAGCAGGTGAAAAGTCACCTTACTACCCCTATGGCAGTAGAGGCAGCAGGTGAGAAAGTCACCTTACTACCCCTATGGCAGTAGAGGCAGCAGGTGAGAAAGTCACCTTACTACCCCTATGGTAGTAGAGGCAGCAGGTGAAGAAAGTCACCTTACTACCCCTATGGTAGTAGAGGCAGCAGGTGAGAAAGTCACCTTACTACCCCTATGGTAGTAGAGGCAGCAGGTGAGAAAGTCACCTTACTACCCCTATGGCAGTAGAGGCAGCAGGTGAGAAAGTCACCTTACTACCCCTATGGCAGTAGAGGCAGCAGGTGAGAAAGTCACCTTACTACCCCTATGGCAGTAGAGGCAGCAGGTGAGAAAGTCACCTTACTACCCCTATGGCAGTAGTAGGCAGCAGGTGAGAAAGTCACCTTACTACCCCTATGGCAGTAGAGGCAGCAGGTGAGAAAGTCACCTTACTACCCCTATGGCAGTAGAGGCAGCAGGTGAGAAAGTCACCTTACTACCCCTATGGCATGTAGAGGCAGCAGGTGAGAAAGTCACCTTACTACCCCTATGGTAGTAGGGCAGCAGGTGAGAAAGTCACCTTACTACCCCTATGGTAGTAGAGGCAGCAGGTGAGAAAGTCACCTTACTACCCCTATGGTAGTAGAGGCAGCAGGTGAGAAAGTTCACCTTACTACCCCTATGGCAGTAGAGGCAGCAGGTGAGAAAGTCACCTTACTACCCCTATGTAGTAGAGGCAGCAGGTGAGAAAGTCACCTTACTACCCTATGGTAGTAGAGGCAGCAGGTGAGAAAGTCACCTTACTACCCCTATGGTAGTAGAGGCAGCAGGTGAGAAAGTCACCTTACTACCCCTATGGTAGTAGAGGCAGCAGGTGAGAAAGTCACCTTACTACCCCTATGGTAGTAGAGGCAGCAGGTGAGGAAAGTCACCTTACTACCCCTATGGTAGTAGAGGCAGCAGGTGAGAAAGTCACCTTACTACCCCTAATGGTAGTAGAGGCAGCAGGTGAGAAAGTCACCTTACTACCCCTATGGTAGTAGGCAGCAGGCAGCAGGTGAGAAAGTCACCTTACTACCCCTATGGTAGTAGAGGCAGCAGGTGAGAAAGTCACCTTACTACCCCTATGGTAGTAGAGGCAGCAGGTGAGAAGTCACCTTACTACCCCTATGGTAGTAGAGGCAGCAGGTGAGAAAGTCACCTTACTACCCCTATGGTAGTAGAGGCAGCAGGTGAGAAAGTCACCTTACTACCCCTATGGTAGTAGAGGCAGCAGGTGAGAAAGTCACCTTACTACCCCTATGGCAGTAGAGGCAGCAGGTGAGAAAGTCACCTTACTACCCCTATGGCAGTAGAGGCAGCAGGTGAGAAAGTCACCTTACTACCCCTATGGCAGTAGAGGCAGCAGGTGAGAAAGTCACCTTACTAACCCTATGGCAGTAGAGGAGCAGGTGAGAAAGTCACCTTACTACCCCTATGGCAGTAGAGGCAGCAGGTGAGAAAGTCACCTTACTACCCCTATGGCAGTAGAGGCAGCAGGTGAGAAAGTCACCTTACTACCCTATGGTAGTAGAGGCAGCAGGTGAGAAAGTCACCTTACTACCCCTTGGTAGTAGAGGCAGCAGGTGAGAAAGTCACCTTACTACCCCTATGGTAGTAGAGGCAGCAGGTGAGAAAGTCACCTTACTACCCCTATGGTAGTAAGAGGCAGCAGGTGAGAAAGTCACCTTACTACCCTATGGTAGTAGAGGCAGCAGGTGAGAAAGTCACCTTACTACCCCTATGGTAGTAGAGGCAGCAGGTGAGAAAGTCACCTTACTACCCCTATGGCAGTAGAGGCAGCAGGTGAGAAAGTCACCTTACTACCCCTATGGTAGTAGAGGCAGCAGGTGAGAAAGTCACCTTACTACCCCTATGGCAGTAGAGGCAGCAGGTGAGAAAGTCACCTTACTACCCCTATGGCAGTAGAGGCAGCAGGTGAGAAAGTCACCTTACTACCCTATGGCAGTAGAGGCAGCAGGTGAGAAAGTCACCTTACTACCCCTATGGCAGTAGAGCAGCAGGTGAGAAAGTCACCTTACTACCCCTATGGCAGTAGAGGCAGCAGGTGAGAAAGTCACCTTACTACCCCTATGGTAGTAGAGGCAGCAGGTGAGAAAGTCACCTTACTACCCCTATGGTAGTAGAGGCAGCAGGTGAGAAAGTCACCTTACTACCCTATGGTAGTAGAGGCAGCAGGTGAGAAAGTCACTTACTAACCCTATGGCAGTAGAGGCAGCAGGTGAGAGAAAGTCACCTTACTACCCCTATGGTAGTAGAGGCAGCAGGTGAGAAAGTCACCTTACTACCCCTATGGTAGTAGAGGCAGCAGGTGAGAAAGTCACCTTACTACCCCTATGGCAGTAGAGGCAGCAGGTGAGAAAGTCACCTTACTAACCCTATGGCAGTAGAGGCAGCAGGTGAGAAAGTCACCTTACTACCCCTATGGCAGTAGAGGCAGCAGGTGAGAAAGTCACCTTACTACCCCTATGGCAAGTAGAGGCAGCAGGTGAGAAAGTCACCTTACTACCCCTATGGTAGTAGAGGCAGCAGGTGAGAAATGTCACCTTACTAACCCTATGGCAGTAGAGGCAGCAGGTGAGAAAGTCACCTTACTACCCTATGGCAGTAGAGGCAGCAGGTGAGAAAGTCACCTTACTACCCCTATGGTAGTAGAGGCACAGGTGAGAAAGTCACCTTACTACCCCTATGGCAGTAGAGGCAGCAGAGTGAGAAAGTCACCTTACTAACCCTATGGCAGTAGAGGCAGCAGGTGGAGAAAGTCACCTTACTACCCCTATGGCAGTAGAGGCAGCAGGTGAGAAAGTCACCTTACTACCCCTATGGCAGTAGAGGCAGCAGGTGAGAAAGTCACCTTACTACCCCTATGGCAGTAGAGGCAGCAGGTGAGAAAGTCACCTTACTACCCCTATGGCAGTAGAGGCAGCAGGTGAGAAAGTCACCTTACTAACCCTATGGCAGTAGAGGCAGCAGGTGAGAAAGTCACCTTACTACCCCTATGGTAGTAGAGGCAGCAGGTGAGAAAGTCACCTTACTACCCCTATGGCAGTAGAGGCAGCAGGTGAGAAAGTCACCTTACTACCCCTATGGCAGTAGAGGCAGCAGGTGAGAAAGTCACCTTACTACCCCTATGGCAGTAGGCAGCAGGTGAGAAAGTCACCTTACTACCCCTATGGTAGTAGAGGCAGCAGGTGAGAAAGTCACCTTACTACCCCTATGGCAGTAGAGGCAGCAGGTGAGAAAGTCACTTACTACCCCTATGGCAGTAGAGGCAGCAGGTGAGAAAGTCACCTTACTACCCCTATGGCAGTAGAGGCAGCAGGTGAGAAAGTCACCTTACTACCCCTATGGCAGTAGAGGCAGCAGTGTGAGAAAGTCACCTTACTAACCCTATGGCAGTAGAGGCAGCAGGTGAGAAAGTCACCTTACTACCCCTATGGCAGTAGAGGCAGCAGGTGAGAAAGTCACTTACTACCCCTATGGCAGTAGAGGCAGCAGGTGAGAAAGTCACCTTACTACCCCTATGGCAGTAGAGGCAGCAGGTTGAGAAAGTCACCTTACTACCCCTATGGTAGTAGAGGCAGCAGGTGAGAAAGTCACCTTACTACCCCTATGGTAGTAGAGGCAGCAGGTGAGAAAGTCACCTTACTACCCCTATGGTAGTAGAGGCAGCAGGTGAGAAAGTCACCTTACTACCC